AACTGTGCTACGCGTCACAGGTTTTAAAATACCGAGCTGCAGCCTCTGTCTTAAGGGGCTTGCAGTCTCTGCGGGAGAGAGATGCGTGTGCATGAGTAAGTGGCCGACGCGGTGATGACGTCCGGGCAGGCTCCGTGGAGAGGCGGGCAGCCCTGTGGGGCGGGGCGGGGCAGCAGGCGGCAGGACAGCCTCTGCCGAGTCCTAGGATGGGGAATCTGGGGGAGTCCTAGGTGAAGCCAAGAACAGGAGTCACTAGGTGGGAAGCTGGGGCGGGGGGTCCTAAAGGCTGGAAGACATTCAAAGTGTGACCTGGTGCTGACCCAGCAGAACAGCGGCCAGCGGCAGGGCCCGAGCAAGTCCCAGAGGCCCTGATCCACCATGCGTGAACCCCGACGGATGGCTGGGGTTCAGGGTGTGGCACACGGGGTGCGGGGGAGAAGGGGGCCATTTCACAGCTGGCGGAGAAGAATTTCAATGCGTCCAACGGCGAGCACGGCCTTCCCAGTGAGAGCCGGCGGGGAGGCCCGCCCTGCGGAAGGGGCCGGGGAGAAGCCCACCTGACCAGGCTGAAAAGTGAACGAAGAGAAATAACGAAATGACAGCTGGGATCAAGCCACGAAGGGCCCCTCGAATTCCAAGGGGAAGAATTTAGACAGAGATTAAGCGATAGAGACCCGCTAAGATTGCTTCCATGACACACCTTCCGATCACAGTGGGGATCGGACTCGGTGTGGCCTCCTTGAAGTAGAAATTTGACGCGTACGCGACAATCGGCTACAGGCCATTAGGAACGAGAACATTTCTCAACCCCAACAGCAGCTGAAGACCTAAAAATAACTGTGCGGAGGGCTGTCACGGTTTCCGAGCGTCAGCGTGAAGAACACGAAGAAAACTGGGAACGTGGGCAGACGCTGGAGGAGAGCGAGCAGCTAAGCGCCGGCGCCGCGCACGGGGCCCCCCGGCTGCTCGGAAGGTGCCATCTCGGACGTGACGGAACCACGAGCGGCCCGCAGTAGGGCAGAGGCAGCGGGAGGCGAGGGGGAGGGACGGGCTGTCGCGGTAATGACGCGCGACATCTGCCGAGCGCACTGTGCCAAGCGCACCGCCAAGCTGCAAGCAGTGATTCACATCTGTAGGACACCTCGCCACTCAAAAGGCCCTTTTAGATTTATTATCTCCTTAATTATTATCCCCTTTTCCTCGTGAGAAGACTGAAGCTCGGGATTAGAAACGGCTTAGCTAATCGGGGAGAGGGCTGGGGCGCACACGCGGGCTTTGGGGGCCTCGTCCAGCACCCGGTTCGCACCGCCGGGGGCTCGGAGACGCGGGTCCTTAACGCCACAGGGTGGCCACGGCGCCTGCGCGTGAGCATAGGTTAGCCTCCCAGCCCGGGGTCCAGTGGAAGGAGCCTCACCCTGGAGACTGGGGTACCAGGGAGGAGGCCCCTCTGTGGCCCCCCCAAGCCTACGTGCCATCCCCAGCCTCGCCCGTGGTTTGCTCCTTTCCTCCTCTGGAATAGCGCCGTCCACCCTAGCTCCCCGGCGACCTTGCTGTCGCCCGTGCCCTCTCGGCCCTGTCCGTTTGCTTTCTGTCCTGATGACCCCTCCGTAGCCCGGGAACCTTCTCGGACCTCCCTCGTACGCCCTCGAGTCCTCCCTCGGTCGCAGGTCCCGTCCGGCTGCCCCTCCGTCCCGCCTCCCTTCAGTCAGTTTTCTCGATGGGAACCGATGGTCTCTCTTTCTTCTCCTGGGCTGGATCGTCCTCCTCGTCGTCCTTTATATAGTGGCTCGTTCACACAAGCTAGGCTGGGCTCCATCAGACCAGGGGCTGCCGGGGCCTTGGGAACCGCCGAGCCTAGGAGCCCCACCCCCAGACCCCCACCCACCCCCAGGATCCCCCGACGCAACTGCCGGATGCGGCCCTGAAGGCGGGGGTCGCTGCGGGGAGCGGGGCACTGGCTCTGCCCTCAAGCGGCCTACAGTCCAGTAAGGAAGACGGACAGTGGACAAAGTGACATTAGAGTGTGGTAAGAATTACACGCTAAGGAGCGAGGGCGGAACGTGCGGTGGACGCGCAGCAGGTGGAAGGCTTCCCGCGTCGTGCGCGCTCTGTCTGCCGGGAACTCATGAGGCCGGGTGCCCAAGGTTCCCGCAGGAGGCTGGTCACATGGCACACTCTGTCGAGCAGGCCCCAAAATTCCAGACTCCCGAGAGGAACGCGGGCCTTCGGCATAAGCCACGCTGTAGGGCCCAGGCACAGCTAGCCACCCACAGGCACAGTAAGGGAAGGCGAAGAAACGGTGACAAGCCCCGAAAGCCACGTTCCCAGATGCCGCCAGGGGCCACATCGGGAGCAGCCCTCTCCAGGGGAGGCAGTGTCAGGCTGCTATGGTAACTCTGTTTTTGCACAGATGTCCGGCCCAGTCTCGGGGTGAGGAATGCCCAGGGGAGACGATGTCTCGGTTTTGATGCTACAGACTCGACTGTGTCTCTCCAGACCCCAAAAGTCGTATGCGGAAGCCCTAACCCCTAGTGTGACTGGCCTGGCGGAGATGCGGTGTTTAGCAGGTAATTATGGCTAAATGATGAAATGATTACAGGTCCAAAGAGCAGGGCTCTAAGTCAGTAGGACTGTGGCCTTATAAGAGGAGGACCAGCGAGAAAGCAGCCATGTGCAGGCCAGGAAGGACGCTCTCTCCAGGAACGGAATCGGCTGGCACCTTGATCTTGGACTTGAAGCCTCCAGCACTGTGAGAAGATGCCCCCCAGTCTGTGGTATTTGGGTGTGGCAGCCCAGGTCAGCTAAGACAGATGAGGTGAGGTATGAGAAAGCCTACTGCAGACAGATCCAACAGGTGTGCAAAGGCCCGGAGGTGAGAAAGGGATTCGAATTTTGAGCCCCCACTCCAGTTCCAGAGTCTGTCATCGTGAACATCCACCTCATCCTTCAACACCCAGCTCAAGCATCGCTTTCTCCATGATGCTTTCCCTGCCCCCTCCCGACGCCTCCCCCCTCCCCCCCACCCCGCCCCCAGAGTTAACCACTCATTTCCTTCCTGGCGCTGTCCTGCACCTTGGTCACAGCCCTGTTATTACATTCGTCACACTCTACTGTGCCCATGTCAGGCCCTACCCAACCCTGCACAGAGCTCAGGTTGCACCGAGAATGCCCCTGCGCCGTGGAAGCCCCCCATCCATCCCCTGACCAGCCCCGCCTCCTCCGGACCTCGCCATCAGCTCGCCAGCCCTCGCTCCTCGCTCGTCCTCAGCCCCGAGTCTGCTCCGACCCTTCAGTGTGACGCACTCTGCCAGAGCTCCTTTTGCCTGCTGTCCTTCCCGAGCTCTCCCTCCTCTGCCTGAAAACCTACTTGTGTAATGGCTCTATTTCAGCTTGAGCCTGGGGAGCCCGTTGCCAAGGGCAGCCCCAACTGGAAGGCGCTGTCCCCCAAGCCTGGTTCTGGATGAGTCACACTTACTTGGTGTAACTCTATTCTCTGATTCCACTCAAGCAGCCTCACGGGGCAGAGGAATTATTGAACAAAATAAATGTCTTACAGAAAATCAGGAAAACGAAGCAACCAGGCTCCGGAAGAACGAGAAGACAAGCAAAGCTGGGTCCCAGACTCTCGCTCCCTGTGCTTCCCCATTAGGCAACTCGGCTAATCTCCAAAACTACTGTTGAATGAATAAACTGAAGAATGTGTTCATTCATTAAGGTTAAAGAGCTGCGCAGAGCCACATAGAAGCTAAGAAGTGTGTATGTGACATACAAGGCCCTGGGGGCCATTTCGTTTGTTGTTTTGTTGGGTTGGGTTTTGTTTGCAATTGCTCGGAGCTGTACCTCAGGAAAGTGTGTTTTAAACAGTCCACAGAACAGACTGGAGGGCAGGCGACCAGTTAGAAGCTGGAGGAAAGAGGGGATGAATGTCCAGACTACAACACCGGAGGTGGGGGCGGAAAATTCGAGGCGCAGATCCGAGAGAGAGTGTGAAAACGCGTCAGAGAGGCCTGGCGCGGGACGAGATTTCGGGGTAAGGGATTTAGAGTCTGAACCAGGCTCCGGCATCCTCAAGTCCGGAGAAGAAAGCATGGCGAGAAGGGGGAGAGAGGGGTGTCGGGAAAGAAGCTATTTCTCGAACGACTGAGTCTGAGGCTCGGGTGGGACTTTCAGGTGGATTCAGGACCCACTGACAGTGCGCGTCTGCGGGCGGGGGGCAGGCGGGGGTGAGACCTGCGTGGGGGCGGGGCGGCAGGGTGCCCAAGCCCCGCGGCCCAGGGTCTCCCGCTCACACCTGCTCCAGCGTCTGCAGCCCTCTCAAAGCCATCACTTCACGTGACAGTGTCACGAGCTCATGAAATAGGACGGGCGACATCGCCTCCTATTATAGAGAAGGAAATGGAGGTTCAGCGGAATGAGGGTTTTTGCGATGAAATAGTGGACTCAGGATTCAAACCCAGAGCTTTTGATCCTTAATCCAGCTCCCAAGTCCGTTGCCAGGGGCACACGGATGGAGGCTCTGCTGGCGGGGGTCAGGTTTTCATCGCGGCAGCTTTTGTTGCTAACTGTTGTCATTCACACAGACGTGGGGGGCAAAGGCAAACCAGCAGTGCTCGCGATAGCCACGTCCAGTGTGAGGAACAGGTAGCCCTGCTTCTGGAAACTTCTACTCTCCCGACGGTGACCTACGCCCCGGGCGGCACGTTTTTAAACGGTTTCTTTCTGCCTATTTAACGCGAATGATCAGAATGAGCTAGAAGCGGGAAAGACCCACCACAGGCACCGCCAGACTTCCCGACGCCGGCCAGGCAAACTTTTAATTCCCAAAGGTCGAAAATCAGCCAGCTTCGCAGGACAATGGGCTTTGTGTGAGTTCCAAGGAGAAGCTGCCTGTGAGGCTGGCGAGTCTGGATCTGCGCGGCGGGCAGCGGAGGGGGGCCCGGGCGAGTGAGTCAGGCGGGCGGGAACGGGCGGGGACGGGCGGGGAAAGGCGGGGACAGGGAGGGACGGGCGGGGACAGGGAGGGACCCCGCCCAGCCCGCCGCTGCTCAGACCGCGCCGCGCCGCTCCGCGCCCACAGCCCGCGCGCCGCGCTGCACGCCGACATGGTAAGTCCGGCTTCGTCCACTCGTCCTCCGAGGCCGAAAGGAACCGGCCCGGGCACACTTTCCCCCAGGCTTGACCTGCCGCTTCCATGCGGACGTGGCAGGAAACAGCGGGCAGCTCAGCCCGCGGGCGGGGCCC